AGGTGATGAGAGTCTCTTATTCAACTAGTATCTTAGAGACCCTCTCCTTCCCTTAGAGACTTTAGCACACTTAGAGATTCTATAGATTAAGGACACATTCTTCAAAGGGTTTAGCTTAAGGTTTTACTTGATTCGCTCTGACACTTGTCGGCATCGTGACCACCGTCTTCAGATAGGATCTTGAACTGTTGAAGACCTTGACCAGACCGTCCATACCGTGAGCTGGCAAGGTGGTGACCTTCCTCGCAACTTCCTCTGCTCCAACGGCTCTCTGCTTTTGAGCTGCAGTAGAAGACGAAACTCTTGCGTTCAAATTTGCTTCAGTTTCCGACTTGCTTCGACTGCATAAGGCCCAACTGCTTTGCTTCACAAGCTGTATTAATGAAACCTTCTGGTTCATTCGGTAGCTTTGGTTTTGTCTTCATAAAGAGAGCCTCTGTTTCATTCGGAGACTTTGGCTTAGTCTCAATAGGATTTACTTTTGTGTTGGAACCAACAGACACGATATAATTTCTTATTCGTCGGAAAAAGAATATGACTCAACTGATGTTTCTGTATGATTCTTGTTACATTATTGATCTAAATGCATTTACCTATTCCTGCTTTTCTTTCTTTCTTTCTTTATGCAGTATAGATTTGAAAGCAGCTTTTCATCTTTACTGAAAGCATGCGGCACAGAGACTGTTGACATAGCAGACATTAGCTCCATGAGTCAGGTTTGTGCTTTTATAGTATTTTGCTCATTTGCTCTTTCTGTAAGTAACCTTTAACCATAATCAGTTTGTTATATAGAGTGAACGAAATGGATTTAATATGCGTTATCTTGTCCGGAAATCTACCTTGGACTTTGTTGATACCACCTTCCGGTGAATACACACAGCCAAATATATTTGTTTTTTTCTCATGATTATGAATCGCAAGTCTTATCTTGAAACATTTACTGTTTGCTTTGTTCTTAATGTCTCCGAGTTTTGTTTGTTCTTCTTCAAAAGATCAAAACTTAAACGTTTCAGCTTTTTTTTCTTGTACCATTTCAGTGTGAATCAGAAGAAGAAGCTTCTATAACGTTTGAGAATGGTGACATGATTCTGGATTACAAGAAACAGAACAAAAGCTTGCATTTTTCTTTGTTCTTAATGTCTTTAGTACTGGGAAGTGTGTAGATACGTATATATGTAATGATCTTTGGTTTCTCTGATGAAAACAAAAATTCGATTTTTTTTCAACATTTTTTTTTAAAAAAAGCTGAAAACTTGTGGCCATTACTTCTCTGTTAACTCGAAAAGATACAAATTTTTATCCTCTCTCTTTGTTGTAATCACAAGCAACAATGGAGTGGCCATGGTCAGCCATCG